ATTCAAAAATATTTGAGCACCTACTGTGTGTCAGGCACCACTTTAGAGGCTGAGACTGCAATGGTGAACAAGTTGACAAAAACCTCCACCCCTGTGGAGTATGCATTTCTAGTGTGTGTGTGAGGAGACAAACAAACATATAAACCGATGAAATATATAACATGCTAAGTAGTGGCAAGTGCTATAGAGAAAAATACAGTGGGAGGGGCTACACGGTGTGCTGGGAGGCATTGGCAGCAGGAAGGTCGGTTTCTAATAGGACGGTCAGAGAAATCAGATGGCCAATGAGAAGTGACACTTGAGCACAGATGTGAGGGAGGTGAGGGAGGACGGGACTTTAGGCAGAGGACCAGAAGTGCAGAAGCCCTGAGTGGGGAGGTGGGCTCCCCCAACTTGAGGAATGGCAGAGGCAGCCTGGCTTCAGGGGAGGGAAGAATGGGGAAAGGTGCAGGGGGAGAAGGAGACAAAAGGGGAGCAGTTGCACCCCTGTGCCCTGTCTCACGTCCCAACACCCATACTTCAGCAAATTAACTTGCAAACTGAGACTCTGACTCTAGCCAAGCCAGCTAGGAGTAAGCTGCCCATTGCCACCTAGGGGAAGGTTTTCTAGGGAAAGCCAAAGAAAACAGTGTCAAATTCTTGGCTTTTAGTATTCAGAAGGCAGGGCCAGGTAGAAGATGGGAAAACTGCAGAAGGATGCAAGTTCTTCCACATTGATGCAGCCCTCCCTCCATATACTCCCTGCACCCTCAGCCAGACTAAATAAAGTCTCCCTGGGCTGGTGAGGTAGAATGGAGAGGGTCCTGAAGGGACCTGCTGAGAGGAGGTAGGGTGGCTAGAGGCCTCCATGTCTGCTTCCAGGGCCAGGAAGAAGTTGACCCTGAATCTGAGGTGAGGAGTGGTTGCTGTTCTATTTCTTGTCGCCAAGAGGCTGACAGCAGCCAGGATAAGGTCAGTTCTTCATCTGGAGGAGTGATGCTCAATGCTTTGCCCAAGTGCCATCCAAACCCCTTCCAAGAACCTAACCATCACCGCTAAGCTCCAGATGGAAAGTGGAACCTGACACTCAGGGTCTCACCAAGTGAGGAAGGTGCTGGATCCCTGACTCCTGTTACACACTCAAATGGGACTGCCTGGTGGGTGGCCTGCCCACCTGTCATCTGGGTTTACTCCCCGAGAGAGAAGACATTCATCTCTGTGTGTACCTGTCTCCGGATTCGACCACTGCTGTACATTGGGGAAGTTGAATCTGTTGAGAAGTTTATAATCTGGGTTCCATGTGTCCATTGGGAGATTTGGGGCATGAATGGTAGGTGAAACTTGGACTGGTACACTCTTCTCTGGTTTTCATCAGATTCTTTTTTTTTTTTAAGTTTATTTGCTTTTTTATTTTGAGAAACAGAGAGGGAGCATGCAAGTAGGGGAAGAGCAGAAAGAGAGAAAGCACACACGCAAGAGAATCCCAAGCAGGCTCCCCACTGTTGGCATAGAGCCCGACGCGAGGTTTGAACTCATGAACCGTGAGATCATGACCTGAGCCAAAATCAAGAGCCCGATGCTTAACTGACTGAGCCACCCAGGTGCCCCAAGTTTTCATCAGATTCTTTTTTTTTAAGTTTATTTATTTATTTTGAGAAAGAGAGAGAGAGAGACAAAGAGAGGGAGAGAGAGAGAATCCCAAGCAGACTCTGCACTGTCACTGCAGAGCCCAATGCGGGCCAGAACCCATGAATTGTGAGATCATGACCTGAGCCAAAACCGAAAGTCGAACGCTTAACCGACTGAGGCACCCAGGCACTCCTTCATCAGATTCTTAAAGGAGCTGCTGGTGCAGGAAAAGGGGAAGCTGCTGGAATGGGGATATATAAGGTCACACACAGGCACTAAAAATAGTGACTACTCTGAGCCAAGCTCTTTTGTTTTGTTTTATCCCCAACTTGTGGGGTGCGTGCTAACCATATTCTCAATTTACACACAAGACGGTTGGCCTCAGGGAGGCCAAGGTACCTGGTTCAGGTAGTAGAGCTGAGCCTTGAACACAGCTCTGTGTGCCCCCAGCCACCCACTGTTCCCACCCCACCTCCCATCACAGGATGCACAATCCCTAAGACATCCGGCCTTCTCTCGTGCACCCATTCTGGCTCTGTCACCCTGGAATGTTCTATAACTTTGATTGAATTTCATTTTTCCTTTCAAACTTGGGCTGTTCTCCGCTTTGAGTAACATGTCTCTTCCTGCTGTAGCATACAAAATTCTTTTGCTCCATTATAAACTTGTGTCTTTCTTCTTCAAGGTGGACCCTGAGTCCTAAAACACTGGACTCTGATGAATAACACTGAATTTGTTTTCTTTGTTCATGAATTCAGGTTTTCTAAATGTCATACATCGAGGTATTGAATAGTTAATACCTCTGCTAAGAGTAGCTACAGTTCATTGGATGTTTCCAAGTGACTGACATAGTGTTGATTTATACTCATGATCTCATTCGATCTGCCTAATGTCCCTCTGAGGTAAGTACTATTATTATCCTTATTTTAGAGTTAAGGAAACTGAGGTTTACACCCGTGACGTGAGCTGCCCAAGGTCACATAGCTACTAAATGGCAGAGGTGGGCTTTGAATGTAGATCTGGAGGATTAACTCTTACCCCATCTTGCCAAGCCACTTGCCTCTTTACTTAGGTTGGCAGATGCATTCCCGTGCATGTCTCAGTGGTGACAATGACCTAGTAATGTTTGGGTGGCTGGAGAGGATTAAGCAGGGCTGCTTTGCTGCCAGTTGGGAGGTCCAAGTAAAGAGGACCTGTTTTCTTCCATAAGGGCTCTTGAACTCCGGACCTTCTCTGGGCCTGACCACAGTGAGGTGACCTGAAGAGGTAGCATAAAGCAGACTCTGGCTGGGGTCAGATCTGGAGCCCAGCACCCTATGAGGATGTAAGCCACTGCTTGGTCAGCCTTTCTTCTGGAAGAAGGTCCCTGTGTCACCTGGGTGGCCTCCAAACACTGGTGATGTGTGAGGTCATCAGAACCAAGCAGCTCAGGAAATGCCTTTGGTGCTTGTGGCTTTAGGTATCTGTGGTCCAAATGATAACTTGCACCTGCCCAGTGAGTCACAGTTTGGGGTTTACACCACAGTTATCTCACTGAATCCTTTGTGCTTCCTGGTAGGCTGTGATGAGCACGGCCATTTGGTAGATGGGGAAACAGACCAAAAGAGGCAGGGTGAATTGCTCAAGGTCACACAGAGCCAAGAGCTGAACCCAGGTCCTACTGACTTCGAGTCCCACTCGCTTGCGCTAGACCAGTGATTCCCAAGCCTCATTCTGTGGAGCCTTGGAGTGCTTGGTGCAGGCCAGAGGGAGGGGCTCAGGAGGAGGGCACTCAAGGGGCTGAGGTTCTGCTGTCCCTTTCCTTCTTCACTCTGGGCCTCAGTTATGTCAGGATTCTGTGTAAAGCCTGTTTGGAAGATCTGTGTTGCTAACAAAATGTTTTCAGAGGACTGCTCCAAACTGTTTCTTCTTCCCTGGAAATTGGGTCCAGGCTCTTCTTTTTCTAGGACTCTTTTATCGGTATTGAGACAAGAAAAAATCTGCTGTCTGTTAGAGGACGTACTCAACCCCAACATGGCAACACAAGGGAGTATAAAAGGTATGGACACAGAGGCAGCAGATTGGGGTCCTGGTCCTAGTTTAGTGTCACATAGTCAAGTTATTTACCTCAGTATCCCTATCTGTAAAGATGAGGGATTAGCCTACAGAATTCTAAACTCCAATTTTGCTCAAATAACCTGTGGATCTAGGGCATCATGCTTGGTTCATGGGATCTTAAACAAGGATGAGTCACTTGAAACTGTGTAAAAATATTATATATCTATATTTATAGATAATTTTTTTTATGGAAGGAGAATGTACAGCTTTCTCCTTGAGACTGTACAGAGTCTCAAAGGGGTCTCTGACACAGAATACCTAGCCTCTCAGGACTCTTTCTTTCTTTCTTTCTTTCTTTCTTTCTTTCTTTCGTGTCAGAATTAGTGGGAGATATTTCTCCTTTTGCGGGGGTTTAAGTTGTAACAATGGTGTGAGAAAGCTATTTTCAGAAACAGGGAGAGATAAGCAGAGCTAAAAGTTGAAAGCTAAATAAAAGCATCAGAACCTGTGAACAAGTTGACAATCTTGTTTAAACTCCTGGATGCAGCCATGCCTGATACCCCTACACTTTTCAGTTACATGAACTATCGCTTGCTCCTTTTTCACTAAGCCTTTTCTGTTTCAATCGCCTATAGAAGAAATGATTGATGTGCTAACATTGTTGGAGAAGGCTCCTGCCATTTGAAAAAATATGAAGTTCAGCATAGAGAAAACAAAGTGGGAAAAGATAGGACTCAGGCAGGTGTGTTCCTGTCATGCTTTTTTTTGAATTTCAGGGAAGAAAAATGCTCTCTGTTTTGTTCCCTATCCTTTATTTATTGTTGTTGTTGTTAGCAAACTGGAGGCTTTCAGAGGCAGGAAAGATGTTAAAAATCAATCCCATCACTACAGAGATGGGAAACCGAGATCCAGAAAGGCAATGTGACTTTCTCCAGGTCATACAGTAAATCAGTAGAATGGCTAGAACGGAGGTTACCGGCTCCCAGGCTCCCACCTCTCTGTGTGACTTTCCTCAGTGCTTCTTTCTCAGGCAGGCTCCCCAGCAGAGCTTATGAGGGTTCTTGTGCTCATGTGTGTTGCTTGGTCACATAGATCCATATCTTATCCAGAAAATTCTTCAGTCTGGGTTTCTTTACCGGTTCCATGGACACAGGTAAACAATGGAGTGTTTGGCCTAAGAGGGATGTGGGGAGAAGGTGAAAGGAACCAGCCCTTTTCTCTGCCTGGGGTCCCATTCCCTCTCAAGTGACAGGCCCACCAACTGTCCTGGCCACAGAGTCCCGGCTAAGATTGGGGTCCCTGGGACCAGGCTAGATCTTGCCCAGTGTTGCCCACAGCAGGAGGATTAGATACCGCTAAGGGTCAAAAACAGGCAAGCAGGATTTATGGGACAAATCCGCGGGCTCACTTTCAGCCACAGGGTCAGATCTGTTTAGCCCTGGAGGGCGGTAATGGCAAAGGCCGCACCGGGGCCGAGGGGCTCCAGAACAACTATTGTCCACAGGACCGGTGGGACTGACGGGGACAAACCTGAAGGGGAAGGAAGAGGAGACTCCAGATCCTGCCTACCGCCCGGATCACAAACTACTCAAAGGCGCACAGGAGAAATGACCTTTAATGTCCGATTTGTTTGCAACCCCGCCCAAGTGCCATCATTCTGTGAAGTACAAGGAGGGGCTTGAGAGGTACGAAGTCACGGAGACAAACGACGCCCCCGCTGCCTCCCGGGCGCACACTCGCTCTGCCCCCGCAGACGGGCGGCCCCACGCACGCACACATGCAGACCACACGGACACCGCACAGACACACGCACGTGTACCCACGATTAAATACATGTACAGAGGGACTCGTTTGGATATATACAGAGAGAGAGACGGAAATCCCGGCCGGCGTCGGGTCCCCCAGGCTCTCAGCATGCTCGGCCCAGCTCTCCGCGCTGTACCTGGCACCCATGCCCCTGCCAGAAAAGCAGCTGCCCCTC